GGGCATGGTTAGCTACCTTGCGCGCACAACAGTATGACAATGACGAAGCTCGGATCAACATCCCCGCCAGATTAGGAGGGGTTGCGCACCACTGGTTCAGCACTTACGTTTGGGTAGATCTCTCGACGTTTGAGCAGGACTTCCTGAATCGATTCGATTACATTCATCCGGAACAAGCACTCTTTATGTCCAAAGATCGAGTTCAGAAACCTCTCGAGTCAGTCACCAAATATCGCAACCGATTCTATAGGATGTTCGTCAAGACCCAGCGGGGGGAAGCAGTTGGAAGGGATTTGTTTATCGATGGGCTTCGCATCAGAACCATCAGAACAAAATTGTGAAAGCAATTCTCCCCAATCAACCACACCTTACAACGGATTATGTCTGAGGCCGAGGAAATGGAGCAAAAATTCGTTGCCAGTTTCATGGAATGAGAAAATTATCCTAGAGAGGGAGATTCCTCAAAATTAGCTAGGGCAAGGGCCGAGTTGGTCGCGCTTTAGAACAAGTTTGAAAACATAGGTTTCGACTCTGGCCCTGTTACCTATCTTGAGCAAATCCCTACCAAAAAGTCTGCTCCCGACACAGATGTGGGAGTGTCCGTACCTGTTATGACGACTCCTGTGCCTCCCCAAAAAATTCCAAACAGGACAAATGAATCAACTGCAGTACTTGAACTAACCCGTATGTTAATTAGTCTTATGCAAAAAAGCAAGAAGGAGCAACGGGAACACAATGCGAGGATAGAGTCGTTGATGAGAATGATGCGCCCTATCGCTGTCAGGGCAGCAGCCGCAGCACCCAAGACGCAAGCAGCGGCCCCCGCTGCTCAGACTATGGGCGGAGCGGCAAGGAACCTGAGTGTTTGTTACACGTGCCATCAGCCGGGCCACATAGCCCGAGACTGCCCCCTACGACCCGCCCAAGCTCGAATCGGAGTATCCCCTTTGGCTGTTGCACCTGTAGCAAACAGTCCAAGAAGGGTAGGAACGATGCTTGAGGAAATTGAGAACGGAGGAAGTACGATAGCCACTGTCAAGGAAGTAGCGAAACTTATTCCGCTCGACCAATACGTCGCCTTGGGATATCCGGGATTATGAATGATTGGAACCATCCGACCGGTAGAGGAGCGGAAGGAAGTAGCCGAATGGAGACCTTCCTCGGGGGAGATGGAAGCAGGTGGTCCTACCTTTGTCACTGGGGAAATCGACGTCTTGGACATAGTTCGAGCCTTGGACCACCGAATCCCGTTGCCTATAGGGCATTTGCTGTCCATATCCGAGCAGGCTAGCGAACGCATGCTGCAACATTATAAGGCAAACCGGAAAAGATTTGCTCTCGCTAAGCTAGTTACTCAGAAAGGAAAATCCCCGGCTCTCGGGGATAAACCAAACACTCATGATACGTCGGAACCAATACGGGTAGGAATAATCCTAAAAGGCGATCATTTTCTACGGATTAAAACTATGGAAATCACCAGAATGCGACATCGAAGTTTGGGGAATTCCGTATAACGCCATCCTTGATTCAGGAGCGGCGGTCCTGGCTATCTCGCTAAGGGTAATAGAACGAGCCGGGAGAAAGAAAGATCTAATTACGTTAGCGGAAGGTGATCACCTCGTCTCAACTGATGAAGAAAAGATCAAAGCGGTGGGAAGGATGATGAATGTCGCCTTTCGGTTAGGGAGGGTTCACGCCCTGGGAGATGTAGTAGTGTTGGATGTGAACACCTACGATGTCCTCCTGGGATTGCCAGCCCTCACGACACTACTGGCTAACCTGGATTTTGAAAGGCGATCGGTCATTCTTCGAAACACGGGCATGAAACCGTATGTCATCCCAATGAGATTAACTCTCTGAACCACGCTACCTCTGAAACCCTCGCCTGAGATCACGGGATCTCTTCGAGCGATCACGTGGAAAGAACCGAGCGTCAAGAAAGATCCAAAAGAGAAGGAACCCAAGCTGCCCAACAACTTTTCCGGTAGCGAGGATGACACCGATCCCGTAATCCAAGATATGGTGCACCGATCGATCCGCTACCCCGTCTGACAGAAGACAACGAAAACGTTTGTCCTCACGGAAAAGAACCTGCAACAGACTCGAGCTTTAATCTTCGGGGAACCATTCGTACAAGTATCCCGCATGGTTGATTCCTTGGAACCCCCTCGAACCCTATACGAAACCACCGCTCCTCTTCTCTCGAGATATCGAGAAAAGAAGGCGTTCTGCGACATTACAGGGCTACCTCGCTCCTTGCTGACTCCGGGAAAGGAGGTGCGATTGTTATGCCTAGGGGCCGAAAGCGAAGCCTTGGAACCCCCTGAACGTGACGATCCTACGATCTACGAGCTTGGAATTAAAATCCTTGAAAGGCCGGTGCATTGACGGGATATCAGCGATTGCGTGACCCCAGAGGAACACGTGGCCATCCGGGAAGAAGCCGCACAAATGTTCACTACTGTATTCTCTTGGGGATCGGATAATTCCTTCATTTCCGCTCCCCCGACGGAAAACAGTAAAAGGGTGAACACGAAATAAGTAGCAGTTACTATACATGGGCAACCATACGAGTTACATGTACCGCAATATGTACCGAATGAGATTCATCGATTGATTGCTGATATACTAACTGAATATCAGGAGGCGATTAGTGTAACGGATACAGACATCGGACTGTCCTTGGTCGTCCAACATGAAATTCATACTGGAACTCACCCGCCGATTCATTGCAAACCATACCGATACTCGCTCACTGAACGAAAGATCGTGTTAGAAAGGATCCGAGAATTTGAGGCTAGTGGGTGGATCGAACTTGAACCGGCAACTGGACCTTGGTTATTCCCCGTGGTTTTATTTCCGAAGAAAAACGGGTCGATTCGCATCTGCATTGACTATCAAAAATTGAATGATATAACGATCAAGGATGTGTATCTCCTTCCCCGGATTGATGATCTGCTGGATGCGATTGGTTGTGCTAATGACTTCAGTAAGTTTGATATTCGTTATGGATTTCACCATATTCTGGTTAAGGAGGAAGATCGACCAAAGACGACCTTCGCGTTATTTGAGGGTACCTAGCAGCGGCTTTGCTGCCCGATGAGAATTTGCAATGCCCCGGCAACATTTCAGAGAGCGATGCACGTCACGTTTCAGAATTTTGTCAACAAGATCAGACTGACGCAGGGCATGATTAACTTCTGCGTCATTGTGTATATGGACGATATCCTGGTTTCCTCGGAATCATTCCACGGACATGCTCAACACATTGAGTGGACACTCGGGGCATTGAAGGATGCTGGTTTTAAGATCGCATTGGAAAAAAGTAAGTTTTTCCTCTCAGAAATCTCATTCTTGGGGTACGTGGTGACACGAGGAGGCTTACGACCGGATTCGAGAAAGGTTGCGGTGGTCCAAGAAGCCCCCACGCCTACAACATTGACGCAGGTTCGGGCCGTTCTGGGACTGACCTCATACTACCGAGGATTTATCAAGGGTTTTGCTGTTATCGCATAACCTCTAACGAATCTCTTACAGAAGGACCAGCCACTGAATTGGGATGCGGAATGTCAGCAGGCCTTTGTCGCCTTGAAGGAAGCCTTAGCTACGACGCCTATTTTGATCCGGCCCTACCCTGAAAAACAGTTCATACTCATTACGGACTAGCAGCATGAAGCAATCTCCGCTATTCTGGCTCAGAAGGGGAAAGACGGCCGCGAACACGTCATCAAGTATGCTTCGTGAACATTACCGGACGAGAGAAGAAACGATTCGGCACCACAAGGAGAATGTTACGCGGTTATCTGGGGAATCCAGCACTTCCATCCGTATCTGTACGGACATAAGTTTCTCCTCGTCACTGATCATGAGACCTTGCTGGCCATCAAGAAGCTTACCAACTACACGGGGATGATTGGACGCTGGGCTGTGCGACTGCAAGAATACGATTTTGACATCATTCACCGGAAGACGGAAAGACGCGGCAACGTTAAAGGGCTGACACGATTGCATAAGCCCAACAAGGTGGCCAAGGGCGACGAGATTACACCGTGGAAGGAGCCAAAACTAAACGACGAGCTCTCGTACGCACAGGTGGCCATCCTCCCTCGACCCACTAAGAACTGATTGGTAGTCGCAATGGCGACGGGGCACAAAGGTAATTCCGAAGGCCCTCTTTCTCCTCCTTCGTTTTCGTTTCTTCTCTCCCTGCCCGATAAATTCTGTTATTTCTGTAAAGCAATTTCGAGAGTTTATTCGGTTTCTATGCGTCCTAGTGGGGAAGGATATGTCGAATGGCTAGATTGTCAGCGTTGTGTCTCTAGAGCTCACAGCTCCTGCATCCAGTACAGAAACATGACCAAACCCTAGTTATGCCCCTTGTGTCGAACTGATAAGATTTCGACGGAGGCTCGATTCCTTGAAGCCACGTCTGAAGGGTTGAAAAAGACCCAATGGTTTAGAAGGGTTGAGGTCTGGACAAATGTCACCCTGGTAGCTACGGTAGTTGGGAGCTCCCTCCGAGACTTCACCAAGGAGGACCGGAGGAGGGCCAATGAGAGGGCATGGGACTATCGATGGAATGAAAGACGGTTAGAAAAGCGAAAAACGGACAGTAGCGGGATCTGGATGGCCGTGCCTCATCCGTTCATGAGGTACGACTGGGTTAAGTCGGCCCACGAGGAGACTGTGGCCCACTTCGCCGTCCGGATCACGGAGGCGACGATCGATAAAAATGAATGGTATTGGTCCAATATTCGCGATGATGTTAAATTCATCATCCGAAACTGCTCCGTCTGCGACGCTGACAAGGCACCGATTTAGTCGCCTAGATCGATAGTCCCTACCGTGGTTGAACGGCCGTTTCAAAGAGCCAGCATGGATACCACCGATATTGTCGTGCCCCCTGGACTGAATAGTTGTGAGTATTCAATCCTTTTGTTTTTTGTAGACCATTTCTCGAAATGGATCGAGGCCTATCCGTGTAAGACGCGACAGGCAGCCGAAATTGCGCGATACATCAACAGTTTTCTCGGGATGCACCAGGATACCGAGGAGATCCTGACGGATAATGGGGCAGAATTTAGAGGGGAAGTCTTGAGGAATCTGGTCCTACATGGTGTCTCCATTCGCAACACTGCTCCCCACATGTCGCAATCCAACGGAATGGTAGAGAACGCCAATCGAGTGATTAAGACCGCCCTGCGATGTAATATCGCGGCCAATGACACGAGGCCTTGGTTCGATATCGTGGACCATATCTTGGTTATCCACCGGGGGACAACCCACGAGTCCACGGGTCTGACCCCCTTCCAACTACGGACCAATAACCTACCCTGTGTAGCCCTATCAAGCCTAATGATGAGACGGCCCTCCCACGACGGACCACTAGGGCGACAATTAAGGATAAGGCCCAACGCCATTTGGAATTGATGGAAAAGGTCCTCCCCCGACTGGCCCGAAAAAGACAGCGGATGATGGAAATGGCCCACGGTAGATAGGTTCGGAGTTATGAGGCCCAAAATGGGAATGTTGGGCCTCTGCCCCAGTACAAATTAGGGGACATGGTGCAGGTGAGGAAATGTGCTCGCCAAGGCAAGCTAGCACCACGATTCTTCGGACGATTTCGCGTGATAGAGCTAGGTCCAAGCGGTGTGAACACGGTACGGCTTGCGCCGGAGGTGTCGGGAAATCGATCGGCTCATCCGATCATTCGACACGTGTCCTACCTTCGTCCTCTCCCTTCTTCCCCTTCTCCTCCTTCGCCTGCATCGTCCCTCGACCAAGACAAGGACGACGACTCTCTAGAATCCTCCTTCCCCTCGCAACCGTCGTCTTCGACTCGGCCTCCATCGCCATGGGTTTTCGACGGAGCAGGTGATCAACGAGCGTTTGATGACCCCGAGGGGGCGTATAGCGACAATCCGGCACGTGGAGCGACCTCGGTTGAGCCCCGATCTTCTTCGATTTGCAGCTTTCTTTAGCACAGCGGCCATCCACGCAGCACTGGAATTCCGTTTCGTACACGCGAGAGCGACGCGTGTACTGGCCGAGATTTCGGCTTTCCAGCGCCTGTCATCGCCCGGGGTCAGCCACGTGTCTTTCATCGTCACCATCTCGGGTGACACTACGACGTTGCACCCGGCGACCCATGCGGACATCTATCGGCAGCTGCGGGGTTGGGCCGAGGAGATCACAGCCACGTGGGTCGGGTTGCTGACCCGGCGGGAGGAGAGGATCGTGGCCACGAACGACGTAGACATCCGACTCCGCACCTCCAGCAGCGCGCCGGAGATCCTTCTCCTGGAGCTCCTCCCCTTTGAGCGGCCCCAATGAACCGTCATCGTCTCTCTCTTTTTAACCTTCCGTCTGATCTCCCCACCCTCTGGCAATTTGCTATCAATCCCGCCCTCTCCTTCCGAGTCCAGGAGCTTAGCGTACCGATCTTGGACGGAGACAAGTGGACCAAATGGTGGGACGCCTATGTGGAGCTCAGCTTCTGTTTGGTGTGCGTGGTGTTTCATTGGGCGGAGCCAGCGCCCGAGGTTGAAGGGGGTGAGGTCTCGGACGACGAGGTAGAGTTGTTAATCGTGCAGGCTTGGTGGACGGCTACGGAGGGAGAAGTGCTGGGGATACTATTCGGCAAGGTGGAAGACGGTCATTTGGACGCAATCACCGACGAGGTGTTGGTGTTCTTGGTGCAACTAGTGGACGATTTGCCCCTCGATATTCGGTCGAGGTGTGACGAGAAGCCGACAACGGACGTGCTCACTCGCACACTTGCGTCCCATCTCTTGTGGTCCATGTGTACGGAGCTGGACGGAGATAACTGCTTTTACCCGTCCCCGAGCCACTATCTCGAGATTGACGTCACCGATCTCACACAGTGGGATCCCTTCATTCGGCGAGGGAACGCAATAGAAGCCAACTACGAAGAAGAAGAAGAAGGAGAAGAGTCGGAGGAAGAAGAATCGGGCACTAATCAGGACGATCTCGACTACATTGGGTCAAAGGAAGAGGAAAGCGGATCGGAAGAAGGCGGAGCGCAGGAGCCGAGCGTCCATCCCCCACGAAGCGGGGAAGAGGAGGAGGCTGAAGCTCAGCGAAGGCAAGAGACAGAGGAGGGCAAGCGGTCGGTCGAGGAATCTGAAGGACCGCCACCACAGTTGTTGCTAGGCCATCCATAGCTGAATCCGGAGCCACCGCGCGAAGATTCCAATGGAGCCGCAGCGGAGGGATCAGGAAGTTGACGCCGCAGAAGAAGTGAATCCCCAGCCCCGACTTCTTCGCCATCATGAGCCACCCTTTGCCTTCGTGGAAATGCGGGCGATTGGGCTTCGTCCCCGGTCGTTATCCCGCTGTCCCCTTGACTTCCTCACAACCCACCAACTCTTGGGTCGACCCCCGTTCCCTGATGGATGGTGCCCCTTCCCACCCACTCTCTTCCACCAGTTTTACGCCACCCGCCTTATCTTTAGTGTTGTCCCGCATGCTACCACCCGTTCCTTCGTCGTCTCCTTCCCTCTCCACGTCCTTCTCTTCAGCGCGGCCTGGCAGGAATATAATAATATAGAAGTTTATTGCATCATCTCGGGTACAATTCCCGCCTGTGAAAATTATGAGAGCTTCCACGCTGCAATCCCGCGCACCCTCCCTACTTTCTATCCCGACTATCTCGCCTCTCTCCCCCATCAACGCACCAACTCCCGATTCCCCCGCATCCACCGCACCGTCCATTACACCCGGATCCCCACTAGTGACAGGGAGATTCACCGCTTCATACCTCCTCTTCCATAAGTTTATCCACCACCTCCTCCACCCATTATCAGATTACCATTCCCGGGCAACGTTTTGGATTGAGCGCACGCATGCCACGTTGGATGACTTCCACACTTAGATTGTACAGTGAGTGGCACGTGTCAGCTCCACGTCGATCGTCGAACCAACCGATCGGTGCCTCATGAGAGAGCAAGCAGGAGCTTGCTCAAGATTAGAACCCCCTGGGTGTCACATATGTGACAAACTATTTTATGTGATCGCATGACTTTCTGCGCAAAGCTACTTGGGGAAATACGACGGGTCGGATGGGTGAACTGTGGGAAGATGGGTCGGGCGAGCAAATTGCATGAATGTCCTTGTTTCCTTTCGTTTTCTGCTGGAAGTTCTCCGATCGATGTCGGGAAAATCCCGTGCCAACGATTGGGTAGCCGCGCCATGACGAGCGCGAGAAATAACTGTATCATAGCTTCTTTCTTGTTTTGCTGTAAGCACTGGGAATTTTGGCGCGATCCTCGCGCGGGAATATCGTTTTTGAATTTCCAAACTGATGTTGAGCGCCCACATGCTCGCGGAATTATTTTTCTCTTTTTTGGAATTTCCTTTTGCAATTAGGACTTAGGATAGAAATTTAGGTACGCTTCATTTTGTTGCGTCGCGCTTGCGCGCATCTTGCTGCGGTGGGAAATGGGCTCTGACTGGATCGCGCCCTTAATCTTGTACAACTGTTGTTTTTGGCGGGCGCGATTGTAACTGTATCTCTCTTCTTTCTTGGTTTCCTCGTGTTTGCCCGCCTTCTTCTTCTTCCTCGCCTCGCATACTCTGTTCTAATTGGTGGGAATGCCTGCATCGC